TACTTAGAAACTTACTAAGCCACAGGTTTTCATGTATGGAAAAAGGGTACTTGTAACAGAACCTACTGTAACAGAGCATTTGGGCATTTGGGAAGAACACAGGTATGGTGAAACGCAAATTAGTGAGAAAGATATATCGACAGTGTTATCACTAGACACATAGATTCCAGCATATTATACTACTACCAGAAATCCCATCTTCAAATGGAAAAGAGTAGATAAAAGAACCACTAAAAAAATCTGAGGAGATGCGGGGCAAAGTAGCACATGACTTTAATTCCAGCATTTGGGAATCAGAGGCATGTGGTTCTCTATGAGTTCAAGACCAGGGAGTTCCACAACAGCCAGAGCTATATAAAAGACCGTGTCTTGAAAACAAAACAAAACAAAAAATCCGAAGAGGCTTGTCTTAGTCAGTGCTCTATTGCTGTGAAGATACACCATGACCATGGCAACTCTTCACACCTTTTTTTTTTTTTTTTTTTTTTTTTGGTTTTTCGAGACAGGGTTTCTCTGTGTAGCTTTGGAGCCTATCCTGGCACTTGCTCTGTAGACCAGGCTGGCCTTGAACTCACAGAGATCCACCTGCCTCTGCCTCCCGAGTGCTGGGACTAAAGACATGCGACACCACCGCCCGGCTGACCAAGGCAACTCTTACAAAAGGAAGTATTTAAGTGGGACTTGCTTACAATTTCAGAGGTTTATTCCATTATCACCATAGTGGGGAGCATGATGGCACACAGGCACACACGGTGCTGGAGAAGTAGCTGAGAGTTCTACATCCGGATCCACAGACAGTAGGAATAGAGAGACATTGGGCTTGGCATGGGCTTTTGAAACCTCAAAGCCCACCGCCAATGACACACTTCCTCCAACAAGGCCACACCTCCTAATCCTTTTCAAATAGTGCTACTCCCTAATGACTAACCATTCACATATATGAGCCTATGGAGGCATTCTTTTTTTTTTTTTTTTCCTCGAGACAGGGTTTCTCTGTGTAGCTTTTGGAGCCTATCCTGGCACTCTCTCGGGAGACCAGGCTGGCCTCAACCTCACAGAGACCCCCCTGCCTCTGCCTCCCGAGTGCTGGTATTAAAGGCGTGTGCCACCAACCCCCAGCTCTATGGAGGCATTCTTACTTAAACCATCAGAAGGCTGCTGAGGGTGGGAAAAGCCCCAAAACTCGGCTAAACAGAAAGTTGATTGTGTGTCCACTGTCACGGGTGATATGCCCCAGTGGAAAATTAGAGAGTAGCAAATCCATTATGACCATCACTGGTGCTCAGGATACAGACACAGTGCAGCACCCTGGTCCATCACTCCCAGTCCGGAACACACACAGAGGCATCACCCCACCCCAGCAACCCCAGGCTGACCTGTGACTGAGGCTGTGGTAAGTGTGAATTTGAAGGGTGGGAGTATGAACGCTGCGTCTTGGCTTACCACTTGACAAGAAACAACTAACTGACATTAACAGAATGGATCCCACTGAGCCACTCATCTTGGGAGCAGAAGGGATTACTAATGACTGGAGACACGACTCAGTGATTAAAGAGTACTTGCTATTCCTCTAGAGGACCAGAGTTCAGAACCCAGCACCCATGTCTGGCAGCTCACAATTGCCTGTAACTGCAGTTCCAGAGGATTCAACCCTCTTCTAGTCTCCTTAGACACATATGGCACAAACAAATATAAAATAAATCTTAAATTAAAAAAGTTTGGTAGCTGGGCGGTTGTGGCACACGCCTTTAGTCCCCGCACTCGTGAGGCAGAGGCAGGCGGATCTCTGCGAGTTCGAGGCCAGCCTGGCCTACAAGAGCTAGTTCCAGGACAGCCTCCAAAGCCACAGGGAAACCCTGTCTTGAAAAAACAAACAAAAAACAAACAAACAAAACAAAGGTTTGGAAAGGAAAGGGGTGAGGTGTGGTGGATGGCTTTAAGCCCAGCACTCAGGAGGCAGAGATGAGCCGATCTCTGCATTCAAGGAGGTCAGCTTGGTTACATAGGAAGTTCCAGGCCAGCCAGGGTTACCTAGTGAGGTAGTGATACCTTATCTCCAAGCAAGCAAACAATAAGAACAAAAAACCAACCCAGAAGTAACACACACACACACACACACAGCACCCACACGCACCCACGCACGCACGCCCGCACGCACGCACGCACGCACGCACGCACACACGCACGCACTCGCACACACACCTCCAACAAAATAAAACCCAACACAGTCAGCTGAGATGCCTCAGCAGGTGAAAGTGCTTGCTTGCTACCAAGCCTGACTATCTGAATTTGATCTCCAGGACTCACAATGTGGGCCCAGTGTCGCCCACATTTTTTTTTCTCTCTCTCTCTTTTTTTTTTTTTTTGGTTTTATGAAGCAGGGTTTCTCTGTGGCTTTGGAAGCTGTCCTGGAACTTACTTTGTAGACCAGGCTGTACTTGAACTCACAGAGATCTGCCTGCCTCTGCCTCCTGAGTGCTGGGATTAAGGCGTGCGCCACCACCGCCTGGCTTTCCCACATTTTCTTGTTTTGTTTTTTCTTCTTCCTGCTTCTCCCCCTCCCCCTCTTCTATGATTGGTGATGGAAGAGTAGTAGCTTAGCATGCACAAAGCCCTGGGTTTGAGCCTAAGCATACTAAAATTAAGATGCTACACACACACACACACACACACACACACACACACACACACACACGTTTTGAGGCAGGATCTCACCTAACCTCAGCTGGCCTCAAGCTCTCTGTGTAGTTGTCCTCCTGCCTCCACTCCCAAGGACTGGGATTACAGATATGGAGCACTATATCTAGCTTCCCAGTTCTCTTGCCTTGTCCCTGTCCTTGCTAAGCTCTTTCATCTACAACAGTGTGGTTCATGGCCCTGTACAGGTCTCTAGATGCACCAAATGCCAGCAGAAGCAGCAGGAAGAGGTGGCAGCTGTTTTGTGCCCATGTTTGCGGCCCACTATGAGGTGAGGGTTCCACCCCAGCACTTGCTCTCTACTCACAGTCCCCTGATGACCATAACCCTGCTGTTTTCTGGTCTCTATGTCTAACTCACTTCTTCCTGCTTGCTCGAGGCCTAGGAAGGCTGGCATTGGGGTGACTCCATTGTACCAGTGCCTGAATGCTCCCATTGCTTCAAATCACAACCATACTTGATCCTTACCTAATACTCATGATGCCCTGACACCAGCTTATTCCTATTTTAGCAGGTGCTGATGTTATCTTTCCCCAGACAGACAGAAGCCCAGATGGGTTAGGTAGTGCTGTCAGCATTACTGAGCGTGTAGCAGTGATATGGTGTCTCTGGGGCCTGAGTGTGCTTGTTCATAACAGGGTTGAGAACATGCAGATCTCAGGTTGTAGAGAAAAGGCCAGATGCGACCACCTGATAAAGCTGAAGACCTTATCTCAACACAAACACACATTGCAGAGGCTGGGGGCAGAATGCTTTTTAAAATAACAAGCCAGCTTGAAAGATGGGGACTTATTCCCTTTATTGCCATCTACCATAAACTTAAGCCTTTTCTGTGATTTTTGACAGGTGGGGATGAGGTTTCCAGAGGTTGCTCTGGCTAAGGACAGTGAGCATGCTAATCTAAGAGAAAACTGATGCAAACAAGGCTGTTTGTTGGTGTCTAGCTGTATTATGACCAATTCCTTCCCATGCTCTGGCCGTCATGACTCCTGGAATGACTTTTTCCAGAGCTCGAGCCAGAATCTGTTCCTAGATATCTTGGTGTGCAATTTAAGCAGCACAAAGAAAGCTGTGCTTGGAAGTGATGATGCAAACCTGTAATCCCAGACCTGGAGACACCGAGGCAGATCATGAGTTCCAGGCCAGCCTGGGTGTACAGAGGGACTCCCAACTAAAAAAGAGAGAAAATTTAAAGAAGAAAAACAACTTTTGAGAAAGATGGGAGAGAAGGGAAAAGAGTGGAGGGGGACATCCTGTCTTGGGGGAGCTGAGTCTGGATGAGGAAGGCTCTTTAAATCCCTCGGCAGTTCTACCAAGGTCTGTCTGGAGAGGACAGATGGTTCCGGAGGACAGTTTCTGTTCTGATGCCTGTGTCCCTCCTTCCTGAGGATCCAGGTTAAAGCTCATGTCTTTGGCTCTCCCGAGGTGGCATGGGTGGGGCTCAAGTTTAGTGTGTCATCACTTCCCTTTAGGTAACTGTCCTACATCCTACGACACAGCCTATTGGACTTGGTGGCATCAGGACCTTGAGAGACTGGCAGGACCCCCAGACAAACAAGCCAGTTTCTGCCTTGGGCATTTCAATTTCAAGCATGAGCAACAACAGAAGATGGCAAGATCTGGACTTACACAAGAGGCGGCAGGATGCAGGTCTCAGGTGGGAGGCTTTGAGCCAGTCACTCACCTTGCCAGAGGCTCAGCTTACCCCATGGAAGGGATACTTAAGTGTGTTGAACAGAGCAGGGCTGACCCTGTACTGGATTGTGGGTAGCTCTTGGTAGAGCCATTTGTGACTGAAGACAGTTTGGCTAGGCGGTTGAGGCCCTGCTAGTTGTAGTCATCCCTGAATGATATAGCTACCCATCTTCCCACTTTCTGAACAACTCAACCTGTTAGGAATATCTGTCTGATCCGTCCTTCTTTAGCTATGCAAGTTGCCCACTGCACAAGTTTTGCTGGTTGCACTGTCAAGCTAGGAACTGAATTTAAACTACCTGTGAGCCCCAGGCTGGGGTGGGGAACGAGTCTGTTTTTTTGTAATTTATACTGATGAAGGCAGGTGTTTCTCTAGGGATCTGCCGACACCTTCTTCTCAAACCTTTCTCTTCCTCCCTGATTCCTGTTTTAATGTAACCTCCAGAAAGTCTATTGGTCTCTTGAAGACGGAACCAGCTATTCCTGTCTTGAGCTTCCATGCTCTGCACATTCCTCTAATAAAACCACAGGTATACCTCTGCTCTGATCTCTCCCTTCTGGATTCAAGCATTCCAGGTGAGGGCCAGAGTCAGTGATACACAAATGGCTCAACCAGGAACCAGGAAAGGAGTGCTTTATTCTCTCTGCTGGACAGAGGTGACATCCAGGACCTTGGTAGCAGCGGGTAGTCCCTCCCAGTCCAGCCTTTCCTTTTGGCATGGCAGCTGCAGGTCACTTCAGGAGCCGGGGTGACAGCCCTCGCATAGGGATGGGGAGCAGCAGTGGGCAGCAGTAGCAGCAGCAGGTCACGGCGGGGTTGGGAGTGTTAGTCTGGTCGGCTGGTGTCTGTCCCCCCCAGCTGGAGTCTGATGAGGGGTAGGGACCTGGACAGTGTGCAGGGGACACTGAAGAAGCTCAGTCAGCAGTAAAGACACGACTGGAAATGTCATCAAGGAGCCAGTCGATGCCAGGCAGCAGGTCCTCTCCGGTGACAGCACTGCAGCCCTGGATGCGCCAGTGATGGCTGCGGATGGAGGCCAGGTCCAGGGCCTGGGGACAAAAGGACTTGTGGAACCAGCAGGTCTTAGCCTGTCCTTTCCCAGTCACCCAATGGGAGACTCTAGCTGCACACCAGTGCCACCGTCAGTGACATAAAGTCAACATGGGCTGCTGAGTGTCTGCTAGGAGCCAGGCATTTTGCAGGGACCACAGATGTCATCTGTCTCTTGCTAAGGCCTCCTGATCCATGGATAGATAGATACCATGGTCCACTTTACCAAGGAAGGAATACAAACTCAGGCTCTGCAACCTTCCACATCGCACAGCTAGTTAAGGTATGGTGGTGCACACCTATAGTGCAGGACATGGGAGGTGGAGGCAGGAGGGGCTACATGAAACCTGTCTCAAACAAAAACCAAGATTCTAAGCCTGCTAGATGCAGCCATGGCTCCAGGGCTAGGTCAGCATGAAGCACAGTCCTGGCTTGTTTACTTACTATGTGACATTGGGGAGGTTACTTATTCTGTGTCTCCTGCACCTTTTGTATGGTGACAGTCATTTCTCCCCCATGAGATTGTTGTATAAACGAAGAATAATGTGAATCCACACAGACAGCATTGCGATGGGAAGCGCTCATTGCAGGCTGGCTGCTAGAACCCTGTGAAGTGATCTATTTACAGGTCTGCCTGCTTCTAGACTGGGGGCCAGTCTACCTTATTAATCATCAAATTCTGGGTGCCCTGCCTACATCTTGCCCCACAGCAGGAGCTAATACATGCTTTTAAACCAATTATTAGCCAGACATGGAGGTACACCCTTAAAGCTTCAGGCAGGAGGACTGCTTGAGTTTGAGACCAGCCTGGGCTACATAGTGTGTTCTAGGTCAGCCTAGGATACAGAAACCCTGTCTCAAAAGTAAGTAAAAAAAAGACTGGGCTTAAAAAAAAATAAAAAAATAAAAAAAAAGACTGGGCTTGGGGATGTGGCTCAATTAGTAAAGTGCTTGCCTAGCATGCACAAGGCTCTGGGAACAAACAGCAGCACCACAGAAACTGACAGTGTGGTTCACAACTTAATCCCAAGTGCTCTCCAGGTGGAGGCAGGAAGATGAACGGTTCAGAGGCTCCTTAGCATCCTAGTAAGTCTAAGACCTGCCAGGGCTGCTGAAACTCAGTTTCAAAAAACCAAAAATAATAAAGCACACCGGGTGGTGGCGGCACACGCCTTTAATCCCAGAACTCGGGAGGCAGAGGCAGGCGGATCTCTGTGAGTCTGAAGCCAGCCTTGTCTACAGAGTGAGTTCCAGGACAGCCTCCAAAGCTACAGAGAAACCTTGTCTCGGAAAACCAAAATGATAATAAAGTACTAATAACCCTTCAGTTTTACTCCATACGCTTGCACCAGAGCTTGACTCACCTCCTGAATAGCGTTAGAGGACAGTGCTCCAGGCAGGTCCTGCTTGTTTGCGAAGATGAGGAGGGTTGCTCCAGCCAGGCGCTGGGGAAAGACAAGATGGGGCTGGGGCTGGGGAGGCTTAGAGTATAGCCCGATCCCTTCTCTGCAAGCCATGGGGTCATTGGTCAGCATGCAGGGTCAGGAGCAGGGCCCCATGGTTGTCGGGGAGCCCCAGGTGGGATAGCAAAGCAGACAGAGGTGCAGAAACTAGCTACCACCCAGTGGGCATCTCTGCCCTCCATGCCTCAGTTTCCTCTCCCATAATCAGGGAGAGGGTGTTGCTCACAATGATCCCTGAGCCCTCTATAGCTCTGACCATGTGCAGAAAGCATAAGCATGCTGCGGGCTGCCCTGGGGACTTTAGGGTAAATCCACCTGCCCTTCCTCCCAGTTCACAGAACCCTTAAATTGTACTCCCAGTGGACTGCCCTGTTGGCCTTTTTCTCTACTTATTGCCATTGGTGTGTTTGCAACTGGAACCTCTCTATGTGCAAAGAGAAATCTAACTTCTGGGCCTAGCCCTGCTGGGCCTTGGCTTAGCCTCCAACAAAAGTAACCTCTCTAGACCTGTTCAATACTCCAGAGGGGGCTGCACTCATGCTGGTGGCATGTGTCTGTTAGCCTTACAGTCTCATTCATTTCGGTGCACTGGCCTTCACCTAACCGTGGCAGCATTATGAAAGTCCTGAGACAGACAGCACACATTAATGGAGAAATGGCAGTATCCAAACCAAATAAAACTTGTAGCTTAAGATAATGGCAATTGTTGAGCATGGTTTAGTAGTGTCCAACTGTAATCCTTGCACTCAGGAAGCTAAGGCAGAAGATGGAGAGTTTGGAGCTAGCCTGGGCTACATAGGGGAACATGATCTCATCACCACCACCGCCCCCCAAAAATCAACTCTGCCAAAATAAATAGCTAATAATGGAGTATGGCGGCACAGCACAGATCAATAATCCCAATTATTTGGGAAGTAGAAGCTAGTAGATCAGGAGATCAAGTCCAGCTTCTGATGGTTGAACAAGCCCTGTGTCAACAAAACATGTTTTGGTCCAGACAACAAATGTCAACATTAGCCTAATTATAACTTTAGGGATGTGGAAGTTGAGGCTCAGGTAGGCTATGTATTTTCCTAAAGCCACACAGCACAGTTAAGATTCCTATACAAGCTTCATTCGCTCCCTGAGCTTCACCCCCTGCCCTGGTCTTGAGGCAGCTCCTGCAGTGATGGGACTGAAACTCAGGGTGGTGAATCAGTAAAACCAAAGAGATGTGAGTCTAGGTCTCAACCCAGGGCCCAGAAGGAAGGGACCTCCTCCCTCCCCAAGTGTCCTGGTGAATCATGGCCCATGTGAGAGGTCTCTGGCTTGGTTGCAGGTGGAAACCCAGGGCACACCTCCTCCACCAGCAGGCTCTGCAGCTCACGCTGACAGTCCTGCATGCGCTGGCGGTCTTCTATGTCCACAACCCAGATGAGGCCATCTGTGCTCTCAAAGTAGTTCCGCCAGTAGGAGCGTAGAGACTTCTGGCCACCCACATCCCAGATGTTCAGTTTGAATCTGGGAAGGAAGGGACAATGAAGGTCAGGCTGGTCCTGCCCACTGTGCCTTCCCCCAGCCCCACCCCCCCCAGTGACACTACTCACCCCCGGTGCTCACAGTGGCCCTCAGTGGTCCTACTCACCCCTGGCCCCCACACAGTGGCCCTCAGTGGCTCCCCCTCAGTGACACTACTCACCCCCGGTGCTCCAGGGTTTTGATGTTGAAGCCCAGTGTTGGGGAGATGGTGTCCACGTCTTCCCCATTGAACTTCTTGAGGATGGTGGTTTTGCCAGCATTGTCCAAGCCACTGGGACACAGAGCTAAGGAGAAGTCTCTGAGCTCTGCTGGAGGACATGTCATCATACTACCAAACTCTTAGGGACTACTGTATATTGAAACAAGTGGAGCACATGCCTGACCCATAAGTGGTTTGAGGTAATTATCATCTCGGCCAACTTAAAGTAACTTTGGTTAGCAACAAATATTAAGTGCCTATTATGTGCCAGGCCTCCTCAGGTGTTGGTGGACAAAGTCTTCACCCTTATGACACTTAAACACTAGCAAAAAAACAAAAAACAAAAAAACAAAAAACCTAAATAATGGGGCTGGAGAGGTGGCTCATCAGGTCTTGCAGAGGACTTGAGTTCAGTTCCCAACACCCACCCACATGGTGGTTCACAACCAAACCCTGACCGCTATGGGCACCGGGTGCTCAACATAGTACACATACATATATACAGGTAAAATACTTACACATATAAAGTGTAAGAAAAAAAATTAAAGACTAAATAAAGCAGACAAAGTTGGGTATCTGGGATCCCTGAAACCTGTGAGACATTCCTGAAAGGAATGGCTTTCAACTTAGGCATCAGATAAGGCTCGGTGGGGTCTTGAGACCCAATATAGATGCGCCCAGTCCTCTGAGGGACCAAGTAAGGCGCAAGTATCTAGAGGTGGCAACCACCTTCATCTGTTTCTAGAATGATCCACAGCCTCTGCTGCAGAGAACAAACCACTGGGTGAGCTCAACGGCACGTGGGAACTTGGGGTGACCACAGTCTGAATTGAGGGGTGGGAGGGAAGGGGCAAGCTCTGCATTTAGACCCTCTTCCTGCTCACCTGCAGGCCCAGTGACCCTTGAAAGGTCAGGGCACGCACTAGAAAACGCGCTAAGTCATCACCATGTCACCCGCCACGCATGAGGACTCTGGGCATGCCTGGAACCTCAGTGCCCACTCGCAGTCTTCCCTTTAAAAGCTCCAACTTTCCTGCTTCGCGCTGTCTCTCTGCTTTCTCTCTTTACGCCGCTCTCTCTTTGCTCACTCCTTCTCTGCTCTTCTCTTCTCCCACCTACGCGCTCTCTCTCCCTCTAGGGCGACCGGCCATGGCGGTCAGCCATTACCCCTGTTCCTCTTCTCTTTTAGTCTGCCGGGCCATATAATAAACTAGTTAACATGTCTCATCTTGCAGCTTTCTCTTTTCCTCCTTTTAAATAAAACATAACAACCCTCTTTTGTGAGAGGGGGTGAGCAGATTACCTCTCATCAGCAGTCCAACTTTACTCTTGGAAAGCCGGCCACTGATTATCCCAACCCTTCCAACACCCACCTGCCCAAACAGAGTCAGGACCTGCTCCTCTCCAGTATTAGCAAGTGGCCAGAAACCAGGGATTCCGGCGTGGCTTCCCCTTCTCCCTCACATTTTCCTCCAGTGTAGCAGCAAGTCCTACCAGCACTACTACCCACTACTCCCTTCCTCCATCCTGCTCCAAGCCACCATCCTGTGGCCTAAATGGTCCCAGCCCATGAGGTCTCCTCCCTCTCTGTAGTCACTCTTCACTCTTTGACTTCCCTCGAACATGGTAGTCTTATCCTCCCCCAGGTCCTTTGCACTTGGAGGTCATCCCCAGACATCAATACCTTCCTCAAGTCTTTGCCCAGTACTTCTTATCTTGGCACGGTCTTTGACCACTCCGGACTACGTTCTTCTCAACCCAAACTACACATTTTATTTATTTGCTTTACAACTTCTTTCTCCTCTTCCATTATCCACAAGGAAGGCTTTTTCGTTTCCCTGTTTCACGGCATTCTCTAAATAAGTAGTAATCAATAAATAGTAATCTAATGACTGTCTTTCTCAAACTGTCTACAACTGGCACGGGTGGTAACGTTGGAAGTGCACATTAATTTACCTCTTCTCTCCCTGCCAGTTTGAGGATCACAGATGCTCAGGTGCCAGACACAACACAAGGCGGGCGATGCAGGTGCTACTTAATGCAATGGAAGGTCGGCCGGGGCCCTGAGTGACAGTTAACCTGGGACCAAGACCACCCACACCCTCAGGGGCCTAGGCGGTCCTCACGCCCCGGGATTCCAGCCCTGAAGGAATCGCCAGGGCCTACACGAAGGGGAGGGGGTCAGCGCTGGGGAGGAGCGGGGCCCACGTTC